CTGCGGCGCGCTAAAATTAAAATGTTTTCGCGATTTTGGTTGGCATGCCTGTCCACCTCACATTCCACGTCTCACGCCAGGCGCCTCACTTCACGCCGTCTTCCGGGTGGTCTCCCCTTGCGCTTCCTGACAGAGCTGAGCATTTAAAGTTCAAGTTTAATTTCAAGTTCAAGTTAAGCTCAGCAATTAGAACTAGGAAAGGGGATGGGGGTGCTTCGTCAAATCAATTCGAAGCATGCGCATGCTTTGGCATTTACTGAATAGCAAGGGGAAAAGAAATGTTTTGTAAGTAACAAAGATTTTAAATGCGTCCCAATTTTTAAAGCGCGTGGTCATAATTGTTTGCAACAATTTGGTGGTAGTGCAGCAGTACAGGCCGGCCACTGTACGGAATTGCCCGTAAAACGCCCGTTTAGTCAAATTGGTAAAATACCGAGTGACTAGTGCTGGCCGCACACTGAGAAGTTCTTACAAACACGTCCTTTGTAACTGAGTGAATTTTCCAACCTACGTATTACAAGCACGATTTTGTTCGTGACACGAGGGTACAAAATTCACTGTAAGTTACGAAGAGCGCTTTTGAAAGAAGTTCACAGTGCACGTGAACTAATCTCATGGCATCTAAATTTCTCCTTGCAGATGGATCATCTTCCGGACGACGTGTTGTTGGTGGTGATGTCGCATCTTCGCACCTGGGACCTCTTCAGCTGTCGTCTAGTCTGCAAGAGGTTCGCGCCGCTGGCTCTCCATCCAGAAGTGTGGCGGCATAGAAATCTCTGGGAACCTTTCAACCGCGATTACGTCAACGTCCTTTTCTGTCCGGTGCTGCGTCTGGCTCCTTGCCTTGATGACTTACGCATCACCCTCCCGTCGCCCCACACCTGCCACTCGCTCTTCACGGGCCCGTGCGCAACAAAAAGATTGTACATTGAGATTCGCGAGCCAAGTGGCGCTGCGCAGGCTGCCTTGCTCATCAGGCACCAGAGGGAACTCGGCCGGCTGAAGGGGATTCATCTACACTTACTGGATGAGCAGTCTGGACTTCGTCCCGAGTTCTCTGTGGCAGATACATCCGTGCTGTTCGGGACGGTTGTGTCCACTCCTGGCCTGCATTACCTTGACATATCGCCAGCTGGTGACGAGCTCCTTCCCATCAAGTCCAGCCCCCGCTGGCTGCACCCTACCATCGAGGCCTCCATGACGGACTTCAGTTGCCCCTGGTCCCCGGCCCTTGAGCACTTCTTCAACTGCATGCTAGCAGTGCACGCTGCCTCTCTAGAAGTAGTCGAAATGCGAGAGTATACCTTCGAGTTCAACTCGCCGTCGACGGTGGCCTTGCTGGCACAACTACCAGCCCTCGTGGAGTTGTTTTGCTCAGTATTCCCCGGGATGGAAGCCTTGGCAGAGTGCGCCACATTGAGGCACATACACCTCGAAATCAATCCCCAAAAAGATCACGTGCGTGCTTACGCCCCGGCTGCTGCGAGCTTCCTGCGCCGGGCCCGTCAGCTGCGCACCCTCCAGCTGAAGTACGAGGATGAAGGCGACGTCGGTGTCGAGCTCATCACAGCCTTAGCGTCGTCCGGGCGGTCTGGTGTGGAGGTGCTGCGCATCGACTACGACCCCTGCGACATTGAAGCTCATCTTCCTGAACTGCTAGGCGCTCTCGCCTCGCTGCCAGCGCTACGTCGTCTCATAGTGAATGTGGAAAAGGATTCCCCCCACGCCCAGAAAATTTTGGCGGCTACTTCCTCCATCCAAGTTGAATTTAAATGAAGTTGCAGTGGGTTTCGTGCGTGTGTTCTTTTGATTGTGATGGTTTGATGCCAAATATATGATGAGTCCTAAAAAACGCCCGTTTTTCATATTAATTCCCTGTGTTTGCCCCTTTCTGTAGTGGTCTGCCAGTCACAGCCCCTTTTCTTTGAACCGCCACACCTTTGACTCTTCCTCTTGTCGCTAAGAGTAATTTTTCTCTCTACCGTCTGCAAAGTGTGTCCGCTTGAACAACAGTACCTGCCCCTAATCGTGCACCCGGTCTTGCTCTTTCAGATGGAGGACCTTCCGGACGACGTCCTGCTGATGGTGATGGCGCGGCTGGGCCTGGCGGACATCATCCAGTGCCGCCTGGTCTGCAGGAGGTTCGCGCCGCTGGCGCTGCACCCGGACGTGTGGCGGCGCAGGCGGCTCACTTTCAGGGACACGAGCAGCCGCTGGCTCTGCGCCGCGCTGCGTCTGGCGCCGTTTGCCGACTCCATGCTCCTAACCGTCCCCACCCACAGCTGTGAGCACATGTTCTTGGCTCCGTTCGCCGTGAGGAGCATGGAAGTGACCATCCAAGACAGCTTGGGTGCCGAGAACGCCGTTCAGATCATCAAGAACCAGAGCAGGCTCAGGCGGCTGAGGGAGGTTGAGCTAAACTTCCAACAGCCTGAACAACACTCCGATCGGATGTCTCCAAAGGATACCTCCGACGTGTTCGAAGCCGTGGCGTCCGTCTCTGGACTGGATAACCTTAGAATTTTTGTGATTGGCGATTATGCCATTCCGATCGAGCGCCGGCGCAGCTACCTAAAGCTCGACGTCACGCCGTCACTGACGAGTTTCATGTGCTCGGTCACACCCGGGACGGAGGACATCTGCAACTTCATACTGGCGAGGCATGGTGCCACCCTGAGGAAAGTCAGTCTGTACTGCGAGCGGCACTTCGCGCTGTTGCCTGAGACGGGGCCTCTGTTGTCCCGGATGCCCCATCTCACAGAGTTGGATTGCCCCATCTTTGTTGGCATGCGAGATTTGGCGGAGTGCTCGAGTCTGACTACTGTACGTCTCCGTTTGCTCCGTGACCTCCGCGCTGACGTCCAACCCCTCTTTTTTTCCTTATTCATAATGCCGTCGGTTTCCCACGCCTGCCATTCGGCCGCCTCGTTCCTCTGCAACGCTCACCAGCTGCGCACCGTGGACCTCTGCTACTTGGATCCCGACCTCGGCGTCGAGCTCCTGGCGGCGCTGGCCTCGTCTGGTCGCTCCAGGGTGGAGGAGCTGGGCATCGACAACGACATCGAGGACTTGCGTAATCGTCTGCCCCAGCTGCGGGAGCTGCTCCGCGCCCTTCCCCTGCTGCCTGCACTTCGCCGACTCAAGGTGAACTTGTCAAAGGACGCGTGCTTCGCCAAGGAGCTGCTTGCGAAGACCGACCCGCTACAGATACAAGTGGTGTTCGGCTTTATGGGCTAGGTGTTTTGTATTATTTTTTTTGCCCTTATAATGGCTCTTTGGTAAATAATTTTTTAATGCTCTGGACTGTTTTTTTCTAGACTGTTTTTTTTGCGAGAATACTTCAGTCATCAACATTTTGATAAAAGTTAAAAATCATTTCCGTACTTGTATCATAATTATGTGTTTATCTTCAAGATAGAGTCGAATAATGTTCGAAATATTTTTTTGTTTGTGTAAGAAAAATGATCAGACAGTATTGTGAACACGTTGAAATAATTTTGTTTGCCTTTGTTTGGAACTGTTTGAAATGCAAATTTTGCAGCAGATCCGATTTTCGTTTTCCTCTCGGAGTTCCGGCCGTTGGTTCGCTACGCCCGCTACGCCTGTCCCTGGGTCGCATGCCGAGACCTCTTGTGGGCTCCAGACTAGGGATATTTAAATTTTCCGAAAAAGTAAAAAAAAAAAATCCCTTTTGTTTGAAAAAATAAGAGATTTAGAAAAAATCTTTTAAAATCTACGGAAAATTAAAATCCCTTCTCCAGGCCGGGCTTGGTCGGGACGCACCCCCGAGCAGTCTCTGACCCAGCCGCGCGCCCCCTGCGCTTGGTCACCGCGGCCGGCCATCCCCGCTCCCGCCTTGGCCGGCCGCCGATAACGGCTTTTAAAACACGCCGTGTTTGTCGACGGCGCCGTTAATGGTGTCCTCAATAACGAGGCGACAGGGGCGGGCCCGGCTGTGTACACTGGCGATAACGAGCCGGACAAGCTGCTGGGCCGGCCCCCGCTGCCCCGCGAGACCTCCTGCACCCCTCCATCATTATTTTGATAAAAGTGTAATCATTTCGTAATTGTAATATAATTAATTATGTCTTCATCTTCACGATTGTGTCGAATAATGTTTGAAATATTTTCTTGTATGTGTAAGAAAATTATCAGACAGCTGTGTGAACCTGTTAACATATTGCGAGGTCTCAAAATAATTTTGTGTTTGCTTTTGTTTAAACTATACTAAGATACACCGGCCCCGATTCTCGCTGACGCCTACGGTTCGGGTGGTTGGTTCGCTGCGCCTGTCCATTGTGTTGGTGAGATACAACAGTTTTGCGGTTTCAATTCCCCATTCGATTGTTCATAAAACACAGCATACTTTAATATTATAGAATAACCCGTTTTTGACTTTATACTTGTGTTTGAGTTATCGAGTTTGTAAACAGGAGGAAAATAAAACTTGACATTCGGCCACAGCAAATGTGATCTAACGTTCAATGTAAAGCAGGTCCTGAATATTGGTCTTTGTTGTTTTTTCAAATTATCTGAAATATATAATAACTTGTAATGCGCCCTTTTTTATTTATTATTCATCCGTGCTGTTCGCCCCCCCTGTGTCCACTCCTGGCCTGCATTACCTTGACATATCGCCAGCTGGTGACGAGCTCCTTCCCATCAAGTCCAGCCCCCGCCGGCTGGCTGCACCCTACCATCGAGGCCTCCATGACGGACTTCAGTTGCCCCTGGTCCCCGGCCCTTGAGCACTTCTTCAACTGCATGCTAGCAGTG